TCGCCCAGGCCCATGGTGTTTTGTGGAAGAGCCACACTCAAGGGGCCAGAGAGCCGCATGTGGCTCGAGAGCCGCAGTTTGCAGACCACGGAACCAGGAGGTCACGGTTCCATTTCCGGTTGGGGCACACTCCTGGGTTGCAGGCTGACCCCTCGTGAGGTTGTGCAGGAGGCAGCCAATCCATGATTCTCTCTCACCATTGATATTTCTCCCTCTCCCTTCCTCTCTGACATCAACAAAAGTGTATTTTAAAAATGAACAAGGTCAACCTCTATACTCCTGCTTTCCCCCAGCAAACTGAGGAGCTTGCTCTGTAAGAAGCCACTGAACTCAGCAACTTGGGGTGCGCAGAGAGGAGCAGGCCCAGCAACAATGCCCCCCTGACGGGCGCCCACATGTATCCACACCCCTTCACGCCCTGAAGCGTCGTTCCCGTTGGCGGAGTCTCTGCTGGCGACCTCCAACAGCAGGAGTCGGCTTACCCGTCGTCCGGAATGAAAACCTGCCCTGGGCACGGCTGGCTAAGGGCCGGGCCGGTAACCCGATGCCGGGATCGCGTGGCGGCGTGGCCCGCCCACCACAGCGCTGGCCACGGGGCGCACGGGCGGAGGGGAAGGCGCGCCAGGGACGGCACACAAGGAACAGACACTGGAAAGCCTCTTGACACAGCTGGTGCTGACGCAGACACGATGGGTCTGTTCGCCGTCAGCGCCGGGGACAGGGAAGGCGAACGCAATGGGGTCCGGAGAATTAGGGGAGAGGGAGAGAGACGCCTGCCTGTCCGTCCATCTGTCCGTCCGCCCGCCCGAAGACCACGTAAGGAAGGGGGATCCCCCGGAATGGAGGAAGCGCCCGCCCTCTGTCGACGCCCCTCCCCCGCGCGCACAGGGGAGGCTGCGTGAGGTCACACCACAGACACCTGGCGGGGATTGTGGTTTTGGGATCACTCTGAGATGCCTGGCGTGCAGAATTCCAATTACATTTGGCCGGATCTCTAGCGTCCACGTTTCCAATTTCTTTTTCTTCACCCGGACCACGTGAATGCGAGCTGCCATTTTGCTTGCTTTTATTTGTTGGTGTTTGATCCCAAACCCTGGCTCTTGCGTCTCCAGCCCGGGGCTACAGACCACAGGAGAATGCCTGCTGTGCTCACTGCCGGGTAGTCCTTCCCCAGGGAAAGTTCCCCTTCTGTTCCTGAGCCCTCTCCTCGGGCCTCAGGCAGATGTGCCGCAGGCGGCTGTTTGGACTCCAAAGGCGACAGCCGTCCGTCAGGCAGTCCGTCCCGTCACCGACGCCCGGGCTCTGGGAGCGTTAGGGGGGACCCGGCCGTGTGCTCCATGGGGTCCCTCCTCCTGCCACCCGCGCCCGGCCAGCCCGGCCTGAGCCCTCCCCGTCCCGGTGGCCACGCAGGGGAAGGCGGGGCCCAGTCCTGGTCTGAAGGGGACAGAGAGGAGCAGGACGCCGCCCACGGGGAGGGACAGCGCCTCCCGGTGGGTATGTGAGCACCGGGCCACCTGCTCTCGGGCTCCTGGGCCTCCGGGCTCGGCTTCCTCTTCTCTTGGACATGGACACGTGGAGTGTGCGCCTCGGCTTTGGGGGGGGGGGGGGAGAGGGGGCTGATGATCAGACAGAGTCCCCGTCGGTGTCCCGCACAGGAGCCCTCGGGTGCTGGCCTTCACGGCCCTGAGCAAAGGCGTGGGCTCCCTCACCACCTCCCACGTGCGGGCACAGCGGCGGGTCAGCCCCACTCATGGCCGTGGCCCCTCCCACGCGCGGGCACTGCGCCCTTCCTGCCCCGCGGACACTCACTCAGGGGGGCCCAGAGACAGGACACCCACACACTCACACACTCACACACTCACACTCACACTCACACTCAGGGTGGGCCTAGCAACAGGACACACACACTCACTCAGGGGGTCCCAGCGACAGGACACACACACACACTCACACAGTCACACACTCACACACACTCACTCAGGGGGGCCCAGCGACAGGACACACACACACTCACACACACACACTCACATTCACACACACTCACACTCACACACACTCACACACTCACACTCAGGGGGGGCCCCAGGGACAGAACACACACACACTCACACACTCACACACTCACACACTCACACACACTCACTCGGAGGGGCTCAGAGACAGGACACACACACACTCACACACTCACACACTCACACACACTCATTCAGGGGGGGCCCAGCGACAGGACACACACACACTCACACACACTCACACTCACACACTCACACACTCACACTCAGGGGGGCCCAGCGACAGGACACACACACACTCACACACACACTCACACACACACACACACTCACACACTCACACTCACACACACTCACACACTCACACACTCACATACTCACACACTCACTCAGGGGGGCCCAGGGACAGGACACACACACACACACACTCACACACTCACACACTCACACTCACACACTCACACACCCACACTCAGGGGGGGCCCAGCGACAGGACACACACACACTCACACACACACACACACACACACTCACACACACACACTCACACACTCTCACACACACTCACACTCACACACTCACACACCCACACTCAGGGGGGGCCCAGCGACAGGACACACACACACTCACACACACACACACACACACACACACACTCACACACACACACTCACACACTCTCACACACACTCACACTCACACACTCACACACCCACACTCAGGGGGGGCCCAGCGACAGGACACACACACACTCACACACACAGCCCCAGGAAACACACAGGAGGGCGGAAGGCGGACATAATAAAGGTAATTCTCAAGCAAAGCAGGTCCTCGTGTCTCGCACACAAAGCCCAGGGCGCTCTGGCCACGCTGCCCGGCGAGTGGGCAGAGGGAGAGGGGTGTCCTGAGAGGCCAGGCCGCCCGCACGGAGGGACAGGCCCGGAAACTTCCAAACGCCACGCGTGCAGGCGCCTGTTTCCAGGTGAGAAGCGGGCGAAAGGGGGGAGGCAGAGCACTGTTCTCCCACTGCCCGTCCAGCCCCACAGCGGACCCCCCGGGGCCCACACAGGGGAGCGGGGCGCAGGGGCCGGGGCGGTGGGGGGCCGGGGCAGGTGGGGGCTGGGGCGGTGGGGGGGCCATGGCTGGTGGGGGGCAGACCAGCCCCCAGGCCGTGTGGCCCGGCAGGCGGTGGAGAGCGGATGAGACCTCGGGGGGACGTTAACGGGCGAGGGACTCTGCCCCGTGCCTATCAGAACCTTATCTCTAGTCCTCACACGTGCTGAGCAGATAGGGCGCCGGGCCTGCCGATAAGGAGAGCGAGAGGACCAGAGCCTCCTGGAGCCTGGCCCGGGCGCTGATTTATGCAGGACCAGACTGAGGCTGCGAGCCTCGCTCCGAACAAAGACCCGCTCCGCCCTCCCGTCCGCTTCCTGGTGTCCGGGGTGGAGGGGTGGAGGGGGGGGGCAGGGGGAGGGAGCGTCTGCCAAACAGTTCAGGGCTGTAAGCCCCTCTCCGGGTGCGAGACGGCACAGCCCCCACCGGCACGTGGTGTTAGAGCCACAGGTCCTTCGCAGCGCCGAGAGGGAGGCCCAGGACCCCGCCGGGCCGGCGTAGCCACGGAGCCCACGTGTGGCCGGCGTGGCTGCGGAGCCCACGTGTGGCTGGCGTGGCTGCGGCGGAGACCTGAGAGCGTGCAGGCAGGCAGGCGGAGCAGCAGAGGCTGCGAGGAAACAGTTAAGTGGAAGAGGGAGGAGGGAGGGAGAGAAGAGGAGAAACTCTGCTGAGATTTAAATTGTTCCAACAGCTAACCGCACGATCCTGCTGTTCCTCGGGGACCACCCGGCCGGGCCCCCCAGGGTGCGGGCCCCCGACTGGCTGCCTCGCGCACCGGCTGCTCCTCGGCCAAGACCGTGGGTCTCCCAGAGCGACGGGCTCAGCCTCTCCAACCCTCTCAGGCACTGTTTTCATGTGTGTGTGCCATGCGTACAGGCATGCACACACGTGTATGCACATGAACACAGGCAGTGCAGGCTGGCGGGTGGTCCCCTGGGGAGATGCGGCTGAGCAGGGGCAGGCTGAGCGTGTGAAACCCTCCAGCCCCGGGAACAGCTCTAATCGACAAGCCGCTGAGACACAAGGCAGGGGGCGGCCCCAGAGGAATCTGAGGTATGAACCAGGAACCGCTAGCGCCTTCCTTGCCCGGAGCAGCCCGCAGGAGGCCGCGCGCGCTGAGAGCAGGCGCCGATGCCACGGACCAGGGGCACGTCCGCCACCCACACCCTCTCCGAGGTGTGCGCCTCGTGCTTCCCAGCACTTGTTCAGGGACACACGTCGGGATGTTCTCCTGCAGATTGCATTGATTAAGGCGTGCAGACCCCACGGGGGGAGGGGGCAGGGGGAGCGGGGCTGCAGGCGCGGCGGGGCGGCCGTGGCTTGGCCCGGGGACATAGCTTGGCGCTTGGCACCGCGGGCCGCCCAGCCACGGCCTGGAGCTGCAGCTCAGAGAGGAAAACACCGTGGTCAGCCGCAGGCCGGGCTGGGCGCGCGCCCGGCTCCACAGCCCGGGGGGGGGGGGGGGGGCCTCGGGGCCAGTGCCCTCAGGGCGCAGACGGCTCCTCCTCCCTCTCTGTCCGCTCACGCCAGGGACCAGTGACCCTTCCTGTCCTGTCACCGCCCTCCCTCCTCCACAGGGCGGGTCTCTGGGGAGGCCCCCCGCGAACCGGGGGCGACAAGGGGGCCCGGCTCGCCTCCCCCCGATCCGCCCGCGCCCCGAGCCTGCGCCCCGAGCCCCGCACTGAGCTGCGGACAGGCGCGCCCCGGAGCCCGGACACCCCGTCCCGGTGGGTCCACCGCGGAGCGCACCCCGATCCGCGACCCCACCCCGGCGCCGGCCCCACCCCTCCCAGCGCCCCGCGCACACGGCACCGGCAGTGCCCCGAGCCCCACCTGCCCGCCGGGGCCACCTGCCCGCCGGCGGGACGGACTCACCGTGAGCGCGGAGAACCTCTGTGCGGGCGCCGGCGGCAGCAGCCCCGCGAGCAGCAGCGGCAGCCAGCACAGCGGGAGCCGGGCCGGCGGCATGGTGCGCGGGGCCCAGCAGGACACTCTGTGGAGCCTGGCGCTGGGCTGGGGCCCTCCCTCCGCTCCGCCCGGCTCACAGCTGCCCTCCCTGCACCGCGCGGCAGGGCACTGAGAGGTCCTGCTTCTCTAAGGTTCCCTGGCTCCTGTCAAAGAGCTGCCGAGCCTGCTGCTGCCTCCTGCTCCCTCCCTCCCTCCCTCCCCTCCGCCTCCCCTCCCTCCCTCCCTCCAGCCAGAGCCCCACCTCCTCAGCCCGCAGCCGCTCAGCTCAGATGCCGCTGGGGCGCGGGGCCACCCCCAGGAGCTGTGCGCACCTCCTCCCCGGCTTGGGGCACACGCACAGTGCACACATGTACACATATGCACACGCGTGCACACACCACACGTGCCTGTCTGTCTGGGAGAGCTCCTGGCCCCACCACAAGGTGCGCTGCGCCCTCCCCCGTCCCAGGACCTGTCCCTGCGGGCCGCCCCTGGGGCCTGGGTCTCCCCCTGCATCACCAGAAGCCCCGGTCAGACCCAGCGCCCGCCCCCCTCATCTTCTGGGCTCTCGCCGCACCTGGTCCAGCCCAGAGTCCCGTCCGGCTCGCTGGCTCAGGGGGGGGCAGCTGTCAACACGGCGCGTCCAGCGTGAGAGCTGGCGGCCGGGCGCCCAGGGCCTCCACAGGTTCACCCCGCGGGGCCGTGAGCTCTGAGGGGCACGCAGTGGGGGTGACCGGCGGTGCGCAGTGCCCGGGAGCCGCCTGCCCTGTCCCCGGGGTGTGTCCGGCCCCCGGGAGCCGTGGAATCCGAGGCTCCTTCCCTCGCACACCAGACGCTGGCCGGGATCCATCGCAGACACATTGCTGACATAGTTTAGCCTTGGCTTACGGCTTCACGGGGAAAAGCCCGTTCTGGCTCCGAGAACACCAAGAGCCAGGAGGGCGAGAACAATGCGCCGATTGACGGGGGCCGAGGGGGCCAAACCTAGAACATCCAAATCTGGCCTTTAATCGGGTGTTCAGCCCGGGACCGCCGCCCGGGGCGGGGGCCGCCCGGGGCGGGGGCCGCCGAGCCAGGGCCCACCCCAGACAAAGGCTGTGTGTTCCCGGCCGGGGGCCCCACTGATGGACACATGGCCACGGGGCCACGAGGGACGGGGACGGCGTGCCGTCCTGGGAGGGGGCTGCGCATTCCTGGCCCGGGGAGTCTATTAATTTTAAAGTTTAAACACATCACTCCTCCAGGCGCGGAGGGAAGGGCAGTAAACGCCCAGGAGGGCGCGGGTCCGAGCAGCAGGGGAGGGAGCAGCTGCGAGGGATTAAGGGAGCGAGGAGTGCCCTCCGGCCGCTCCATAAAAACGGAGGTAAAAGTGAAACAGCGAATCCGGCAAACGCTCAGGTCCTCCGAGCCAGAACGCCGACCCCCGAGCCGGCTCAGCCTCTGCCGAAGCCGCACGCAGAGCACCGAGCCTCTGCCGGCCGCCCCGAGGCCCCGCACCGCCTGGGTCTGTGCCCTGGGCTCTGAGCTCACAGGATTGGAAACAGGCTCTCCTTGGTCACCCTCATGGGCTACACGGGGGCCGAGGAGCAGTTAATTATCCCCGCTTCACGGCGAGACCGGCACAGAGGCAGGTGTGTAGCCGGTCCCGCCGCTCTGGGGAGACCCATAGGCCCTCGGGGCCTCCATTCAGAATCTGCCCCGTGTTCACACACCAGCTGCAGGGGCCGGTCCCGGCCCGGCCAGGAGGCCACGGGGCCTGCCTCCCTGGACTTGGGGGCGGGAGCTACAGAAGCTGGACGCGGAGTGTGCAGACATCACCGAGTCCCGTTCTCTTGGGGAAATCCATACATTTATTAAAAACACTGAGAAGTCGGCATGTCTGTCTAACATTCCTTTTCTTAATGTTTTAATGATTCAGAGAAAGGGAGAGAGAGAAAGAGAGAAGCATCGATGATGAGAGAGAATCATGGATCAGCTGCCTCCTGCACGCCCCATCCTGGGGATGGAGCCCCCAGCCAGGCTCTGTCCTGACCAGGAATCGAACCCTGACCTCCTGGTTGGTGGTGCTCAGCCACAGAGCCATGCCGGCCGGGCTGTGTGACAGGAGAGTGAACACTGGCGTGGGTGCCGGGACAGGACCTGTGTAAGCACCTTTACGTGGTTCGAAATCAAGGCAGGGAAAAACCAGGTCCTAGTTCCCAACCAGTTCCTCCCGGACAGACAACGCAGAGCCTGGGACCCGAGCCGTCCTTGCTCCCTCGCAGGCCTCAGAGCTGACTCTGCAGAAGGGGGCGTTTCTGGTGTGGACGGAATTAATTCTTGTTCCTGGCAACTTGTGATTGGCCAGAGCTCTGTGTCTGCGCACTCCCCCTTTGCCCCCCGCTATGCAAGCCGGAGACGCGGAGACCCCAGCCCCTGTCCCTGCCGCCTCGGGGTTCAGAGCCCAGTCACCGCCCGAGGGTCAGTGAGTGACCGCAGCCGCCCTGGGCGCTGCGCGGCCAGGATTGACCCTCCCCCAGCACATCCCCAGGCCTGTCTCCTGGCCTCTGCGGACCCCGGCGGAGGACCTGCCACACCCCTCGGTCGGTTTGGGGTGACGGTCCTCTCGCCTGGCGGACAGCTCCTCTCCACCCGCGGAATTTCTCTGGACTTTCCCTCGAACGAGAGGACTGCCCGCTCTGGGTGGCTCTGGAGCCTCCGGCCCTTCCCTTTCACTCACCCTCTTCCTCTGCATCTACGGTGAGGGGGCGAGCCCCACATGAGACCCCATTTCCAGAGGCCGCACGCCACAGGAGTGCAGCAGGCGGACGGAGCTGATGGGGGCGGGGGTCTGGCCGGCGGATAGAGCTGACGGGGGAGGGGGCCTGGCCGGCGGATAGAGCTGACGGGGGAGGGGGGCCTGGCCTGCGGACAGAGCTGACGGGGCGGGGGCGGCCGGTGGGCAGAGCTGAAGGGGGAGGGCGGCCGGTGGGCAGAGCTGACGGGGCGGGGGGCTGGCCAGTGGGCAGAGCTGACGGGGGAGGGGGGCATGGTCGGCGGACAGAGCTGACGGGGCGGGGGCGGCCAGTGGGCAGAGCTGACGGGGCGGGGGCGGCCAGTGGGCAGAGCTGACGGGGGAGGGGGGCCTGGTCGGTGGGCAGAGCTGAAGGGGGATGGGGGCCTGGTCGGTGGGCAGAGCTGATGGGGCGGGGGGGTCTGGCCAGCGGGCAGAGCTGATGGGGGGGATCTGGCCGGCGGATAGAGCTGACGGAGGAGGGGGAGTCTGGCCGGCGGGCAGAGCTGACGGGGGAGGGGGCTGGCCGGTGGGCAGAGCTGAAGGGGGGGGGCGGCCGGCGGGCAGAGCTGACGGGGGGGGGGCAGTGGGCAGAGCTGACGGGGCGGAGGGCTGGCCGGTGGACAGAGCTGACGGGGCAGAGGGCTGGCCGGTGGGCAGAGCTGATGGGGGAGGGGGGGTCTGGCCGGCGGGCAGAGCTGACGGGGCGGGGGCTGGCCGGTGGGTGGCTCTGGCGTCTCCAGGCTGTGGTGCTCGGGGTGGACGGACCGGGTGGGCAGGTGAGCTTGATCTCCAGCCTCACTCAGGTGGTCCCTTTCTATTTGTGTCCATTTCAGTAACAATCACTGGAAGCATATGAATCTGCCCCTAACAGAGCCAAAGCCAGTGTCCGGACCAGCCTCTCCCAGCTCCTTCCGGAAGCGCTGGGCGTTCCATCCGGTTCACGGTGTGATGACCGCGGCGCGGCCCAGGCTCCCGACCGCCGCACCGGGGCGCGGAGCAGCACCCTGACCGGCTGCCCGGCGCCTCCTCCTCGTGGCAGCTGTGTGTGGGCGCAGACACCGCCTGGCTCCCCTGCGTCCGGTGTGCGGTCGCTGGCAAACAGTGGAGAGCAGGCTGTGTCTGGCCCGGGTGCGCTCCCGCCGGCTCTCCACGCTCAGGTTCCCGGGAGAGTCCTGTTCGCAGAGCCACGGGCAGAGCCACGGGCAGGGCCACGGGCAGGGCCACGGGCAGGGCCACGGGCAGGGCCACGGGCAGGGCTGCTTCCACAGCGAGAACACCGCCCGGAGCTGCCGAGGGGCCCAGACGCCGGCCTTTCCGAGGGCGCATCCGGGCGGGAGCCGCGCTCCGGCCGCCCGCCGCCTCCTCCTCAGCACACGCGGCGGCCGGAGGCACAGAGCACGGGGCCTCGGCACAGAACAGCGGCAGCCGGCGGCGTGGCTTCCCACCGGTGAAACCACGTCCGGCCACGGCCTGAGACACCGGAGCAGCCGCGGAGCCTCCCTCAGTCCGCAGCCGTCACCCGGCCCCGGGCCTGCGAGGGCGTGGAGGCCCGCCCAGCCGTGCCCGTGGAGCGCCGGAGCCGCAGGGTGCGACCTCGAGGACCTCGACACCACAGTCCAGGAGGCCTGTCTCTTCCTCACACGAGACCCCCTTTAGGGGGGAAAAGGTCAAAATGGCAGCAGAACTGCGGCGATCCAGGATCTCTCGGTGGCACGTGGACCACAGGCACACCAATAAAGAGACCTTTACCTCAGCACCCGTGCCCCCACCCACACACCCACACACGCGCCAGGATGGCACTCAGGGGCACTCAGGGACACCCGCCTTGTCCCGAGCTGCAGGCTGACCAGACATCACCCCGTCCCGTCCCCGTCCCGTCCCCGTTCTGTCCCCGTCCCGTCCCTGTCCCAGTCCTGTCCCGTCCCCGTCCCCATCCCCGTCCCCGTCCCGTCCCCGTCCCGTCCCCGTCCCCATCCCCGTCCCCGTCCCGTCCCCGTCCCGTCCCCGTCCCGTCCCGTCCCCGTCCCTGTCCCCTCCCCATTCCGTCCCCGTCCCGTCCCTGTCCCCATCCTATCCCTGTCCCCCTCCTGTCCCGTCCCCGTCCCCGTCCCGTCCCGTCCCCGTCCCGTCCCCGTCCTGTCCCCGTCCCCGTCCCGTCCCTGTCCCCGTCCCGTCCCTGTCCCAGTCCTGTTCCGTCCCCGTCCCCATCCCCGTCCCCGTCCCGTCCCGTCCCGTCCCCGTCTCG